GCACCCAGTTTTATCTCATATGGCTTAGTCTCTGTTTGCAGAATGGCGAGAGCGCCGTACAGAGAACGAACTCCGTAGCTTTGGTGACAATCTCCAGGGATCTCCCTAAATATTGCAGTCATGAACTGAACAACGCAGTCCTGAATCTAACACACGACCTTCAGAGCTCGAGGCAAACAGCTTGCCCCCCCCCCCCCCCCCCCCCCCCCGCCATGACATATAATATGGCTACACCATTTCATATTTCATTTATAAATGAATTGTGCAGCTGACTGGTCCTAATCTTATTCTGACCTCTTTATTTTCAATTGTATCTGTCCTTGTTACTCTGGCAGTTCTGATAAGACATTTCTTTCTAGAAATCTAACATTAGCTTCAATAAAGACCTATGTTTGACAGCAGCAACATAAAGTCTCCCCCACCCCACCTAAAAAAAGCTCTAATGAGATTTGTCTTGGTAGACATAAGTATCTTTCAAGGCAAATCTCTTATTCAATCACTGGAGGAAAACAAATCGGAGCTCTTGAACTAAAATGCTACAGAAAAATTAATTCTAAGAATACCATGGACCAAGAAGACGAACAATGCTAACATGCTCCATTATCTGAGCAGTGAGGGGAATAGGCTCATAAACAGCACCCTGTCCTGAAAGCTGAGGTGTTTTGGCCATGTTGACTGTCATGGTTGCCTGGAGAAATGAGGTAGGCCGTGTGGATACAAGACATTGAAGATGTGTTGGCTGTGAAAGCACATAGGGCTGGAAATGTGGCTGGAGAAAGAGAGACTTTCAGGTGTACAGTGATGGGAGCGACGCTTTGTAAAGGACTGATTAAGTGAGAATCATCATCAAGTGCCTTGCCGAGTGGTGTGGATGATCAAACCGCTTCACAATCTGCAACTGCATGAATCATCCTGTGTTGACACCCTTCCATGCCATGATAAAAGGACTGTCAGTCAAGAATTTTCTCAAGTTGCCTTCCTCTGTCTCTTTTTCCACAAATCTTTCCAGTTGTCACAATGTGTTCCAGTTTCCTCCTTCTCTATACAGTGTTTTAAAATCTTTTTGTAAAATTGTTACTTTCAGGATGTTGGTTGCTCTCAGATGAAAAGGAGTGCCAGCCGAACACCTGCGTCTCCAGTATTCCTCCGCGGCCGAATAACACCCACTTCTGCTGCTGCAGTGGAGACCTTTGTAACGTGAGGTTCCAGAATATTTATGACCCTACAGAACACACTACAGTGACAACACAGCCATCCCCGTTAGCAGTTGGTATGTTTCATTTGTTGTATCCTCTGTGTTATTATAGTGTGATGTGTTCTATTAGTTTGATTAGTTATTTTAGCAAGTTAATTTAGTGGGACTTGTTATTTTATCAAGTTATTTTAGTGTCATTTGTTATTTTACAGAAGTTATTGTAGTTGTGTGATTTTTTGTCAAGTTATTTTTACTAGTTTGATTTGTTATTTTTTTTATCATGTTACTTAAGTTTTATTTTTAATTCTTTTTAATTTTCTGAAGTTTTTTTTTTTTGTTTTGGTAGTTGGGTTTCTTATTTTGTTTTAGATTTATTTTTGTGTGTCCGTCCTGTTATTCTAGTGAGTTGAGAACCAACATTATAGCACTGTATAAATGTGCACATGTGTATGTCTTCTCGTCGACTTACAACGTATGCAACCTACGACTATCGGCACTGATAACAACGAAAAATAAATAAATAAAAAAATATTTGCCTGACTATGGACACATAATTGATAAAAATTATGCTTTCAGGAGTATTTACCACACACTGAATAGAGGTTTGCTAAAAGTGGTCGAGGCTGTATCTATAAAACTCTACTCTCCTATGTTATGTAAACAGAAAGATCACATGGTCAATTTGAAGTTACCATGGTAATCACATGATTGGTTTGATTGTGATTTTGAATTTCCGGCTACATGTTTATGTAACTGTAGTAATGCTGCTGTCGAGAAACTGCGAAATATACCAGTCAGTAGATTATGTGTTGTAATGTTTTTGTCCTCATTATTTTAATTTACAATGGAAAAACATTGTTTTAAATTAGAAAATGGTAAATGGAGAACAATAACTTGGTAGGGTCAAAACGTTCCCGGAGCTTATTGGATTGGATTGGATTTTTTACCCCACCAGGACATCACACAAGCGATAAACACCCGATGACACAAAGTGCCACCATGCGGATGAGGATCACCGTGGAGAGGTCCCAGAAACCGCGTTCAGACATTTGGCCATAATGATGACCTGCCTATATTGCGGCCCCTGGCAAAAGCCAGAGTGGGGCTTCAAATAACAAAAAATAACGTCCTAAGAAGGACGAAAACTAGAAGGAACAGTGATGCCCGGAGCTGATGCACTAGAGTACATCATGTGTATTTTCCAATTGCATACAGTAATTATTTGTAATAGGTTTTTTATACAAGGTCCGACAATAAGGTAATGAGATTAATTCCATAAAAATTAAAATAATCAACAGTTGAAGATATAACCTGTATTTTTTTTTTTTAAAGAAGCCCCTTGTGCATTAATGCAGCAAGGTGCACAATCTAACAAATACTGGAACGATCTCTGTAGTTCTTCTCTTGTTATGGCCCTTAAAGTGGAGGTTACGGCCCTTTGGGTGTCATCAAAATCGTTAAAAAAGCATTCTTCCAATCGAAACTTTAATTTTGGGAATAGAAAATAATCACAGGGAGGCAAATCTGGGAAATAGGGTAGAAGGTTGAGAACACACACTTGTTTTTGGGCCCAAAATTCTTGTTTTGATGATGTCTCTTGGGTACTCAACCCGCTGATGTTTTTGGTCATCAAACAACGAATGTGATGCAAACCGGCAAGCAACTTTTTTCTTGTAAAAATCTTGCACTAAAATGTTATGAATGGTCTCTCTATTACCACCAGATTCATCGTCATCATCTTAACAGTAAAACAATGATCTTTTTGTATCCGTTCTCTGACCAAAAACATCAGCGGGTTGAGTACCCAATAGACATCATCAAAATGAGAATTTTAGTGCACACATTTTCAGGTGGTATTCACGATTCAAAAGTGGTGTGAACATAATTACTAATGCACCTAGACCTGGACACAAAATTTCTGTTTGTAATGATGAACTCATTCAAAGTCAGAGAATGGATACAGGAAGATCATTGTTTCATTGTGATTATAATGGCACATGAATCTGGTGTTAATAGAAGGACATTCATAACATTTTAGTGTAAGATTTTGACAAGAAAAAAATTGCTTGTCGGTTTGTACCACATTCGTTGTTTGATGACCAAAAACATCAGCGAGTTGAGTACCCAAGAGACATCATCAAAACAAGAATTTTGGGCCCCAAAACAAGTGTGTGTTCTCAGCCTTTCCACCCTATTTCCCAGATTTGTCTCCCTGTGATTATTTTCTATTCCCAAAATTAAAGTTACGATTGAAAGGACACTTTTTTAACGATATTGATGACCTCCAAAAAGCCGTAACATCATCTTTAAGGGCCATAACAACAGAAGAACTACAGAGGTCGTTCCAGTGTTATTTGATCCTGCCACTTGCTGTATCAGTGCACAAAGGGCTTACTTTGAATAAAATACAGGTTATATCTTCAACTGTTCATTATTTTAATTTTATAGAATTAGTCTCATTACTTAATTGTCGGACCTTGTACCTTATGAAATAATGCTACTTGTTTATAGCTAACTTATCGGTGCCAGACTATTTCCCCCAACGACAATCTACATTTCTAGTAATCCTTATCACCCCTTTGAGGGTGCAATATTTCGTTATTTGAAGCCTCACTCTGGCTCTTGCTAGGGGCCGCAATATAGCCCAGCCATAAATATGGTCTAATGGCTGAACGCGGTTTCTGGGACCTCATTCACATGGTGGCACTTTGGGGTGTTTATTGCTTGTGGATGTCCTGGTGGGGTAAAAGAAGATAAATAGATAGATCTACATTTCTGGCTTTGGTGTCTTTAACAACTGCTAAATGCATTTACTGCGTCTGCATATTCTTGGATTGTTCTGAATTAATTGTTTGTTCACAAGTTTTTAAAACGGGACAGTGAGGAACTTTTCATTTGATTTTCACTGGCACAGGAACATAGCAAGTTTGGACTCGACTAAGACTAAGACTGTGAATATACAGAAGATTAGGTCGTATTTCATGGAAACAAAAGCTATCAAATACAGAGGTACTGAGGAAATAGGAAATGAAAAGAAAGTTGCTAGGTGAAATAAAAAAGAGACAAGTGAAATATTTTGGCCACATTAAAAGACATAACAGTATTGTAAAGATCATCCTAGAGGGAAAGGTTTAAGGTAGACAAGCAAGAGGCAGACAGCGTTACAAGTGGGAGGATAACATAAAGAGATGGACGAACAGCAGTATGAGTGAGTGTACATCAAGGGCAAGAGACAGGGCTTGTTGGAGATCCATTGCAGCCAACCTTCAATGTGGAGACGGCACCTGATTGATTGATTGATTGAAGAGTAAGGCTTACTTCTAAAGGACCTTGACCACATCGAACCTGTCATGCATACATTTACAGTCAGGTGGATGCAGGTTGTGCAGAACCAGGCAGTTATTTATAACTAACATGTGAAATAGTTTATAATTGATGTGTGAAAGAGTCCATGTTTAATATGTAAAATGACATGTAATTAATATGTGAGAATGGTGTATGAATAACATGTGAAATGGTCCATAATTAACATCTGTATGTTGCTTTAATTAACCAAAACATCTTTATAATTTTTTATTTTTTATAGAACTACCTGGTATATATGTAAAAAGTAGTAGCAGTATCAAAGAATGATATCCTGTTCAATCCATCTAGGTTATGATTGGGATATATATATTTCTTTCTGTTTGAGTAATACATATTTATGCTTGTCAGTAACATTCTATTATAAATGTTACACTTGTTTTACATTCTATTATAAATATTACACTTGTTTTTAATACTAGCAATTTCTTTTTCATCTCAGGACCCCTTCAAGATCACAGCTACAAGAAGAAGACTATCATTGTGGCCCTGGTATCGGTCATATCAGTGTCCCTCGTCATAGTCTTCCTCTACTTAACCTATAGACTCTGCCTGACCCCTAAACCCAGCAGCCCTCAATCGTCTGTGGCAAGGGTGGAGACACCAGAGCCGATGCTTCTAGAGTTCAATATAGATCAACTAAAGGTATAAGTCACACCAGATCAGTGTTTGTCCGTTACACTGAAGTAGGGCATAGAAGCTTGAAATATAGATTAGCTAGGGGTTACCCCCAGTGTTTGTCTGTTACACTGAAGTAGGGCATAAAAGCTTGAAATATAGATTAGCTAGGGTTTACCCCCAGTGTTTGTCTGTTACACTGAAGTAAGGCATAGAAGCTTGAAATATAGATTAGCTAGGGTTTACCCCCAGTGTTTGTCTGTGACACTGAAGTAGGGAATAGAAGCTTGAAATATAGATTAGCTAGGGGTTACCCCCAGTGTTTGTCTGTTACACTGAAGTAGGGTATAGAAGCTTGAAATATAGATTAGCTAGGGTTTACCCCCAGTGTTTGTCTATTACACTGAAGTAGGGCATAGAAGCTTGAAATATAGATTAGTTAGGGTTTACCCCCAGTGTTTGTCTGTTACACTGAAGTAGGGTATAGAAGCTTGAAATATAGATCGGCTAGGGGTCACTCCATAGCTAACTCATTCCTGTGCCAGTGGAAATAACAGGAAATGTCCTTCACTGTCCCTTTTAAAAACTAGTGAAAAACTTGTCAGTCCTGAAAAAAAATCTTGAAGCTTGCACACACACACACAAAGTAAAAATGCATGGGACAGCTGTCAGATGTACCAATTCTAACGGTCCCACAGCAGATTTGCAGCTCACAGATGGTGCAATGATCAATCACGAAAGCCGGCATTTCACCAAAATCACACACTATTCTGAACGTAATTGGCCACACACCATTATAATGCAGTGAACAACACACCACAGACTCAATAGAAGAAACATTCATCATGAAATACACAGATCTCATTTTGCACCAGGCGCTCAACTCAATAGCAGTTCGACACAGTCTTTGAATGCCTGATCCGGAAATGGGGAATTTGCACCAGCAGCACCCAGCTGGAAACAAATAACCTTCCAGAGCATCAGCGGTCAGCCATTTTGGCCAAAAATCCTTGCAGCATAAATTCTGTCTGAAAGTGCAAAAAATAGGAGGTATGGTTCCTGGATAATGAGGCAGGGGCAGCCATTATACTGATGGATGCAGGATATCAAGGCAGCTAGAATATGAAAGCTGACAAGGCAGGAAAATTAGCAAGGGGACAAGCACATTTATGAAAAGGACCTGCTATGTGATGCTGATGAATATTGAGTCACAAGAGTTTCTCTAAATTTATTCTTACCTAATACAATGCCTTTGCACAATCAGTCTTCTGATGGGTAAACCACTCCAGAGTACCTCTATTGATTGTTTCCATGATGAGCTGGTTACAGTCTCTCCTGTCTTAGCCTCAAATGAGATGTAGTCCATGCTTTACTCCCCTCTCATGCAATCATGTTAGTCTTAGAGATTCAGTCAGAGATACTATACAGATGGTTCAGTGTTGAGAGTAAAAAGAAGTGCCTGGGGGTTCCTTGCGAAAGTCAATGCAAATATTTAGTGCAAGACAGCCTAGCATACGACATCACAGCATCTAGCATGAGAATGGAGGTGGAGGCAGTAACTGCAGCTCTCCGGTGGCTAGGGAACAAGATGCATACACACCGTAATTGTAACACTCTGAAAGTATGCTGAGAGCAGTGAAGACAGGGATGCTTCGAGCAGAGTGGCAAGCTTCACTAGGAAGGTCACGGGTAGTGAGCATACTTTGGATCTTTTTTCCAGGCCATGCCAGCGTGGTGGGTAATAAACAGGCAGACATATTGACTGGATCTGCACCACTGGGTGGTGAATTGATAAATGACAAGGCAGATGTGGTCAAGACCCTTTGAGAACAAGCAACTGAATGAGTAGAGAAGGAAGATTATTATGGCCTGGAGAGAATGAGGCATCTGGGTGTAACCTAGAGGGTCTGGCCAGCTCTCTACACTCAGAGGAAAAGGCAAGACGGAGATATTACCAGATTGTGACCGGTACCATTAGTATTGGAACTCTGCGCTGGCTGCTGAAGATGAAGAGGAGCATGCATGGGAATGCCCGGAGTTTTGTGATGTCAATTCTTGACTCAACTCAACTCAACTGATTGTTACCATGATGAGCTGGTTACAGTGTCTCCTATCTCAGCTTCAAAGGAGACGTAGTCCATGCTTTTCTCCACTGTCATGCAATCATGTTAGTCTTAGAGATTCAATCAGAGATACATTGAGATGTTTGTGTTGAGTCAGAAATTTGTTGTTGTCTCTATTTTGTTCATAAATCTTTCTGTCTGTATTCTTTCAGTGATTTGTTTTTTCTGTTTGTTCAGATAGAGGATGTTCTTGTCAGAGGGCGCTACAGTGAGGTTCGAAGAGGATGGCTAGGAGACAAGGCAGTTGCGGTGAAAATATATCAGCCTCATCACAGACAGGTAGGAGTTGTCAGTGAATTATTGATTTGGTACCGTTGTGTATTTTCAAACAATAATGTAAAAACTCCACTTCTCATATTTGGACACAATATTTATGTCTATGAAGGGTTCTCACATGTTTTACCTGACATTTGGGCCTGTTTATGTCCTTACTTTCTTTATATGCCTGAACACAAACCTTCACAGCAGTTTAATGCCTTCACATCTTTTAAATGTAGTCACATCTGTTACAGGTCTCTGCACCTGTTCACTGTCCTCACACCTTTTCTGGGAATTCACACCTGTTGAATCCACCACATCTTTTCACTGCATAGGTATCACCTGTTGAGTGCCATCACATCTGCTTATTTCCTTTACATTTTTCCAGTGCTTTTCCATCTGTTCACTACCTTCACACACTTGTTTAATACCCTCACACCTATTTTGTTCAGTACCCTCACACCTGTTCTGTTCAGTACCCTCACACCTGTTCTGTTCAGTACCCTCACACCTGTTCAGTAACCTCACACCTGTTCAGTAACCTCACACCTGTTCAATACCCTCACACCTGTTCACTAGCTTCACACTTGCTTACTCTCCTCACACCTGTCCAGTGCCTTCACACGTTTTTACTCCCCTCACACCTGTTTATCTGGGTACAGATTTGACATCACAGTATTCATAACAAGCCCATAGCTCAAGCTTCCTGCTAACATGAGCAGTCCTTGCAAGACAAGCTGCTTTGAGGCAGTGCCGAAACCTGCAAGTACTGCATCCTGTTTGTGACCCATGCAAGAATAAATGCATAACAAATGTTCTCTAAAGAAGGAGAAATGTAGGATAAGCTAAATGAAATAGATGCTGCTGGTGAGAGGAGATCCTGCTATTAGATCAGTGGTTCTCAACCTTCCTAATGCCGCAATCCTTTAATACAGTTCCTCATGTTGTGGTGCATGTGTGTGTGTGTGTGAGAGAGAGTGTGAAAGTGAGTGAGTAAATGGGGGGGGGGAGTGCATGTGTGCGTATGGGCATGCGCAGTGGTTACAAAATGCTCGTGTTTTATGCTCAGTGGTTTGGTTTTACAAAATGTATCTTCTGGGAGCAGTTTTTTCTTCAGATTAACCTTGCCTTGTTTGCAATATTTTAAAGATACAAGTGTATTAATTCTTCCTTTTTTATCCCCTGCAGTACTATTACAATGAGCGCAATGCTTTCACCCAGCCATTTATGGACCACGAAAACTTGGTCAGATTCTTTGGTGCCAAGGAGCAGGAGGACCCGGAAACCAACTTCCTGCAGTACATTATTGTGACAGAGTATATTCCTCTGGGCACCCTGACCTGCTACCTGAAGCACAACACAGTCGACTGGAGCACCCTGTGCCACATGTGTCAGGGTATTTCCAGGGGGCTGGCATATCTGCACGCTGACATCCAGAAAGGAGGTGAGTGTTTTTCTTTTGGCAAGGAGAGAAGTAAAGGGGGGGGGGGTGGGGGAGCCTTTGTCTGTATGGGAGCTGCCAAAGCTGCAGTGGCTAGACGCACGCCTGCGGATCATGTTCATGGGTTTGAGTCCCGACAGAGCCACAATTGTTTCAAACAATAACATTGGCTCCCAGGCCAACCCAGTCTTGGGTGGGTACCATATACAGTCCTGGGAAGTAAAGGAGGCCGGCGTGATGCTGACCACATCACCCACTGAGTGCTGATTGTTCTAAAATATATACTGAAAGCACGGAAAAAGGTTCTTAACTTAACCTTTTTTTTTTTTTATCTGTAAAACGGCATTTCAGAAAATACATTTCACCTTTATGTGTCTTATTTATTCTCCCTGTCTCCGCTGTTTAATTTTTCAATTTGTTTTGTTAAATTGTCTTCTTTGTTTTATCTGCTTTCAGACCTCTTCAAACCAGCAATTGCACACAGAGATTTAAACACTCGGAACATATTGGTGAACCCTGACCTCACCTGCCTGATAGCTGATCTTGGATTCTCTGTTGGGATGATTGGCTCCAAGATAATCAAGAACGGAGTAGCAGAAAACGCTGAACAGGCGACGTTAGCTGATGTAAGGGATTTTTGTGGTTTTTTTTCCATGTGTCTCTGAATCCTGCTGTCTCATTTTGGTAGCTGATATAATTTGCCTATTTTATTCCTTCCAAGTCGGAGTGCATTTGCCTTAAGGGCAAGGAACCAACAGTCTGCATTTGCTTAAGTCAGATCTGTAAAACAGATGTGCACACAAGACTCAGGTTCTGGAACTAGACTAAAAGTCCAGAAATGGACAATTTCTGCTGAGGTTTAGTTGGTGAACTCAACAAAAATTAAAAGAATCCCCCCCCCCCCCCCCCCCCCCCCCCCCCCCCCCCCCCCCCCCCCCCCGTTTTTCTTCACTTCTTCTTTCACTGCTTCAGGTCTGGACAAGGTTCATGTTCTGACACCTCTGGCAGTGTTGATCATAGACACTTCACATAGTTATAGAGTTTTCCATGTGTTATCTTGCCACCTTATTTATGATCTTAAGTCTGAAAGCATCTGCCTGAGAGGCAAGGAACCAAAAATCTATATGCCAGATATGTAAAACAGATGTGCATGCAAATCTCAAGGTCTGGAACAAGACTAAAGTCCAGAAGTGGTCAAACAACCAGAACTCTCTGCTGGAGTTTACAGTCAGTGAACTGGAGGAAGAATAACAAAGAGGAAAAACGTTTAATGTTGAAGACATAAAATATAAATCCTTACCCGTACAATTTGTGGCACCTGTGCTAGCCCTGCAGCTGTAAATCTTCAGGCTAAATCTGTCTACACTAAAACTAGGCTCTGCAACATTTGTTAGGTTGTGGCCCCTCCCCCCCCCCCCCCCTCCCGAGATAATTGCAAGACCCCCACATCCCCTTCAGTATATGCAAGGCAGTAAGGGACCCCCCCCCCCCCCCCCCCTTTCCATGCCTTCTCTCCTTCATAACAAAATGTGATTATAAAGAGGAGGAAAATAGATTCCACAACAAGAAAAACAGAAAGTATGGAGTTACAATTTGGTCAGAAAGTGTTATTTTATAATTAAATGCTAGCATTGGTCAGATTAATTAGATTTTTAACAGTAGATTTACAAACTGCTCATGAAAACAAAAATATATGCTTATCATTTCATGTAATAAATAGTTTGAAGAGATACATGGTTGCATCAAAAGTTCATTATTAACCGCCAGTTGAGTCTGTATATTGTTCAAGATATTAGCTTTGTTTCTGCTTCTCTTTGCACCTAGTCAACCCCATGTGGAATGCAATTTTTTGGTTATTTTGAGGCTCCATCCTGGCTTTTGCCGGGCGCTCTAAATATAGCATAAGGCCATCAATATTGCATAACGGCTGAACGGGGTTTCTGGGACCTCTCCACAGGTGATCCTCATTCGTGTGGTGCCACTTTGTGTCACTGGGTGTTTATCGCTTGTGTGATGTCCTTGTGGGGTACAAGTTACATACACACATAAATATTTCTCTCTGCATGAAGTTGTACAATACTTGCCATCAATATCAACGCCTGGCAACCAGGACCGGATTTGGACTTGATGAAACCCTAAGCTAAATGAAGCCCCTAGGATTTTACCAGTTTAAATGACACCTGCTAATCTTGGAAAACTTTAAAATGTTATGCCCTCAGTTTGGGTAGTACTGTCATGTTATTTTAATTTAACTCTTTGGGTCCCAAGCAATGCATGATGTGGAAACCACTCTGTCTCTAACACCCCCCCCCCCCCCCCCCCCCACCCAAGGGGCACTAAGTTTCAGCTCACAAATTTTTTTAAATAAATTTAAAATATATTTACAGAAAATGCATTTAAATATATTAAAACTGATCTATGGGGGGAAAATGAATTATCTTTTTAGGCCCCTGCATATTGTAAAGCCCTCAGCTTTAGCTTATTTAGCTTCTACCTAAATCCACTATTACTTGCAACATAATGCAGTAGAAGACAAATCATCTGTGGTTTTGCCCAGATAACAATGATGTTAATTTTTCATAAGCCATTGCATTCATGTAACTTCATAGATGTATGTTTGTTTGTTATAGAGATAGTTTACAATCCTTTGCTTGTTCTGTTTGATACAGGTGGGTACGCTGCGTTACATGGCACCTGAAGTGTTTGATGGAGCAGTTAACCTGCGTGATTGTGAAGCCTCACTCAAGCAGATTGATGTCTATGCTCTGGGTCTCGTCATTTGGGAAATTGCTTCTCGATGCATAGAACTGTACCAAGGTAGGCAGAGAGTAAACCGTGTGTGTGTGAGACAGTCTGCTTTCCTGTACCACCGCAATGTCTTCTGCTACGTTCAACCCCAAAAGGGACATGGTGTTATGGTATACAGCTATGCTGGGGGGTCTACTCTGTTATGATATACTTGTGGGGGGGGGGAAGGGGGGTTTGTTCTTTTAGGACATGCTTGTTAGGTCTATACCCCCCCCCCCCCCCCCCCCCAACCCTGATGAGAACACACAATAATGTAATGGATGGGCATTTCTAAATAAATTCCATCCCATTAATAATAGAATCAAACTTATCCAGACATTTTATCTCGGTGATGGCTGATTCTGTAATCTTGCACCGGTGATCACAGCAATCATCTTGCTTCAGGAAATCTGTCTCATTCGTAGCTGAGATGTTGCTAACCCAACAGTAGTGTTAAATCATTTTTTTATCTTGTGTATACTGATGCATGCTATTGATGTAATAGATTGCAACCTTAGTGTGTTATGTTTCCAAAGAAACGTTTGATGCAGTGTTGTCTGTCATATATAGGGATGTTTGATGCAGTCTTATCTATCACATATTGTGAAGTGTAATGCAGTGTTGTCTTCACATATTGTGAAGGGTGATGCAGTGTTCTTTATCACATATTGTGAAGGGTGATGCAGTGTTCTTTATCACATATTGTGAAGGGTGATGCAGTGTTCTTTATCACATATTGTGAAGGGTGATGCAGTGTTGTCAATCACATATTGTATAGTGTGATGCAGTGTTGTCTGTCACATATTGTGAAGTGTAATGCAGTGTTCTCTATCACATATTGTATAGTGTGATGCAGTGTTGTCTATCACATATTGTGAAGTGTAATGCAGTGTTCTCTATCACATATTGGGAAGTGTGATGCAGTGTTGTCTATCACATATTGTGAAGTGTAATGCAGTGTTATCTGTCACATAGTGTGAAGTTTGATACAGTGTTGTATGTCAAAAATTGTGAAGTGTGATGCACTTTAATCTTTCACATATTGTGAGGTGTGATGCAGTGTCTGTCACATATTGTGAGGTGCGATGCAGTGTCTGTCACATATTGTGAGGTGCGATGCAGTGTCTGTCACATATTCTGAGGTGTGATGCAGTGTCTGTCACATATTGTGAGGTGTGATGCAGTGTCTGTCACATATTCTGAGGTGTGATGCAGTGTCTGTCACATATTGTGAGGTGTGATACAGTGTCTGTCACATATTGTGAGGTGTGATGCAGTGTCTGTCACATATTGTGAGGTGTGATGCAGTGTCTGTCACATATTGTGAGGTGCGATGCAGTGTCTGTCACAAATTGTGAGGTGTGATACAGTGTCTGTCACATATTCTGAGGTGTGATGCAGTGTCTGTCACATATTGTGAGGTGTGATGCAGTGTCTGTCACATATTCTGAGGTGTGATGCAGTGTCTGTCACATATTGTGAGGTGTGATACAGTGTCTGTCACATATTGTGAGGTGCTTTGATGCATGTCCAAGTCACATATTGTGAGGTGTGATGCACTGTCACATATTGTGAGGTGTGATGCAGTGGTCACAAATGTGAGGTGTGATCAGTGTCTGTCACATATTGTGAGGTTGATGCAGTGTCTGTCACATATTGTGAGGTGTGATGCAGTGTCTGTCACAAATTGTGAGGTGTGATACAGTGTCTGTCACATATTGTGAGGTGTGATACAGTGTCTGTCACATATTGTGAGGTGTGATGCAGTGTCTGTCACAAATTGTGAGGTGTGATACAGTGTCTGTCACAAATTGTGAGGTGTGATACAGTGTCTGTCACATATTATGAGGTGTGATGCAGTGTCTGTCACATATTGTGAGGTGTGATACAGTGTCTGTCACATATTGTGAGGTGTGATACAGTGTCTGTCACATATTGTGAGGTGTGATACAGTGTCTGTCACATATTGTGAGGTGTGATACAGTGTCTGTCACATATTGTGAGGTGTGATGCAGTGTCTGTCACATATTGTGAGGTGTGATGCAGTGTTTTCTGTTCAAGTCTAATGCATTCTTACCTGTGGTGCCTATAGGGGCTCCTGTGCCAGACTACCAGTTACCATTCCAAGCCGAAGCTGGACCACATCCAACGTTTGAGGAGATGCAGGTTCTTGTGGTCAAGTATAAGACCCGCCCCAGGTTTCCAGAAGTGTGGAAGGACAGTAGCCCGGTGTGTTTTATGAGTTACATATTAATATACAGACTTGGTTTCTTGCTGAATTCTTTTATCTTTTCCTACTGTCTTCCCCTTTAACCTTACGCTCCCACTGCCTTCCCCCCTAAACCTTCCGCTCCTACTGCCTTCCCCCTAAACCTTCTGCTCCCACTGCCTTCCCCCCTAAACCTTCCGCTCCTACTGCCTTCCCCCTAAACCTTCCGCTCCTACTGCCTTACCCTTAACCTCCCGCTCCATTAAGGCTTTAAAAAAAATTTCAAGTCATAACCTGTTAGATTTATCAAAATCAGTCATATAAAAGCAACTGTTTTCCCACAGGTTACTAATACATGTTTTACAAAATTAGTACTAATTTTTTAAAACATGTATTAGGGACCCTAAACCCATCCCCCTTTTCCCCCATACCAATGTCTGTGGTACTGAAGCTTACTGGAATATTTAATTTGATATAAACTTAGCTTTTTTTTTTAAACATCTGGTTTAACACTTTGAGTCCCAAGGAACGCATCACACATTTATAGGTTCCTACCTTGAAAGCCCAATGAACGCATGATGCGCTGATTTTATTACTTTCTTTACTACCCCCTGGGCCAGTGATGCTAAACCCCCCTGGGACTCAAAGAGTTAAAGGAAATCCCTCCCCACCCAACCATTTGTGCCTAAATACAAGGAACAAACACAAGGACATTACCTGTTTCAGTAACAAACGATTATTCCTTAAACGTCTTATATTCCAGGAAGTTGAGCTTATACAGAATACATATTTAGGTCTGAATGATTTTATTGGAGACACAAAGTTGTTACACTAATAGTTCAGATATAAATGGTTAATTAACAACTGGTTGTGACACACGACAGCACATTCACCACATGGCGAGCTCTTTGAAGAATGTCACTGTTAATCATGGTCTGCCTGAAAGAAACTCGGTCTCTCGTCAGCTTCTCCTGCCTCATGCACTTTCCTACCCAAGGTGTCACTTAAATCCTATGCCCATCTTCATGCTGGTTGCCTCCTGCCCCTGTTTCCTGGTACCATGCCTTCTGCTGTTATTCTTTCTAATTCGCTGTGGTGCTTAATGTGGCCAAAATTTTTCAGTTTCTGTTAGAGCACAGCTAAAAGAGATGAAGCCTTATTACAAATTTTTGAAAACAGAGTCTTAAGATGAATCTTTAAACCATCAAAGATACAAACAGTGAGGAATGGAGAGTGAGAAGCAACAACAAAACTCATAATCTGTTTAAATCACCTTTGATCACTGGCATTATGCGATGTAATAGGTTGAAATGGCTGGGGCAGATTGAGAGAATGATAGAGGTAAAAACTGTATACTCAAGGGAGCTGAATGGTTATAGACCACGAGGCAGACCAAGAAGACGATGAAAAGGTAATGTTCAGATAGACCTGCAAACACTCGGTGTCACCAACAGGAAAGAGGAGGCCACGCAGAGAGGTGGATGATATCTGCAGCAATGAGCCTCAAGGGCTCAGAATGCTGAAGAAGAAAATACAAGATGCTGTTTAGTAACTAATCTTCCTCGATGACCAGTTCTTCTAGGAAAAGACAGCAAGAACATTATTTTACCATCAGAATTGGAACTTTTCACTGAAGATGGGGACACACAATGGGAATATCCCAGTTGATATGATGTTGGTTCTTAACACAACAATGTTGTATTTGTTGGTTCTTAACACAACAATGTTGTATTTGTTGGTTCTTAACACAACTATGTTGTATTTGTTGGTTCTTAACACAACAATGTTGTATTTGTTGGTTCTTAACACAACAATGTTGTATTTGTTGGTTCTTAACAATGTTGTATTTGTTGGTTCTTAACACAACAATGTTGTATTTGTTGGTTCTTAACACAAGAATGTTGTATTTGTTGGTTCTTAACACTACAATGTTGGTTGTATTTTCTTTTTAAGTAACCAAGAAGTGTATGGTAAGCTAGGTAGTCCCTTGGTGTAGCAGCTAGATGCTCGCCTTTGGACCAGAAAGTTGTGGGTTTAGGTCCTGTGTGGTACTGAAAGAGTGAAAACTATGTGACTCAGTATTCGTATACTTTGCTAGCATTTTATTTATTTTAATTTCCCATGTGGGTTCTGGGGCCCCATTATGGGGAAAACACGAATAGACCCACTGTCTTCCCAACAGGCTTGTCGTAAGAGTCGACTGAATTGGGGACTTCCTTTGAAGTCAGAGTGCATCTGCCAGAGAGGCAGGGAACCAACAGTCTGCATACAGTTTAAGTCAGATATGTTAAACAGATGTGCACACAACAATCCGATTTTGGAACAAGACTAAAGTCCAGAGGTGGACAAATGACCAGAACTTCCCACCGGAGTTTACCGCCGGTGAATGTGAAGAAGAAGAATTTTTAAGTGGCCTGATTGGTGAAATGCTATTAAAAACTCAGTTTCTGGAATAAGACCGAAGTCCAGAATTGGACAAACAACCAGAACCTTCTGCCGGAGTTTACAGCCGGTGAACAAAAGAAAAGGAAAGATTGTTTTAAATAAGGAAAAACTGTTTTGAATTAGGGAAAGCATTGTTTTGTATAAGGGAAAATATTATTTTGAAGAAAGGAAAAACATTTTTTGAGTAAAGGAAAACATTGTGTGTGTTTTCTTTCAGGCTGTGAGGTCTTTGAAGGAAACAATAGAGGACTGCTGGGACACAGATGCCGAGGCCCGGCTGACATCTTTGTGTGTGCAGGAGCGGGTAGCTGATATGGCCGCGGTCTGGGCACATGGAAACAAGCATCGAGGAGTGACACCCACTCTGAATGCAACA